GACGCTGGCCTCGGTGCTAATTATAATATCGCACCCAGTGTGAGCTACAAAATTTCTAATTTGTCACAAAAGTTATTGTTTTAAATGTTGATTTGAAACTAAGATATCAACTTATTTTATGAAATTATGAGATTCTGTTTTTGGCATCCCATTCTTTATTTTTGTTGCTTATAAACTCTTTCTTAGAAAAATCAATTAAAATACACATTGAGGGGGGCTGGAGAGATGGATCCGAGGTTAAGAGCACTGACTTCTCTTGCAGAGGAACTGCTTTCAGTTCCCAGCACCTACATGGCAGCTAGCAAAAGGTTTAAAACTCATTCAATTTTATGTCTTACAGCGTTGATACTGAGTTCAATATTGTGTAACTGTATTAATTCAACTGTGAGCCTAAAAATTTAGTCACTTTTGAAAGAGATGTATCTTTGCTCTGGAAATTGTTATTGAGTTTGTTGATGCTGTAATGAAATGCTTCTTCTAGTCATGTGGTTATTAAACTTTTTAATTAAAAAAATAATTCTTCAAAGCATATAAATTTGCTCCTGAATAATTAGTACATGTGAAAAACATTACCATTGAAAGCTACCTGATGACTTTATATCCATGCTCAGATGCCAAGGAGCTCAGAAAGTAACCGGCTGTGACTAGTAATAATCAGATATAGAGATATTAGAAACACATGTGCAAACATCTTAGTGTCAATTTCATTAAAAATGAGTTTTTCTGTGTGAAACTGTGTATTTTAATAATGAAATGGAGATCTTTTTATTTGGTCTTTTTGAGATAGGGTCTTCCTGTAGCCCCAGCTGTGCTGGAACTCATTAAGTAGACCAGGCTGGCCTTGAACTCACAGAGATCTGCCTACCTCTGCCTCCTGAGTGCTGGTATTAAAGGCATGCACCACCATGCCTGGCCTGGAGATCTTTTTTAAAGGATAAAACCTCATTTAATTTTATGTCTTATAGGGTTTATACTGAGTACAATACTGTATAACTGTATTAATTCAACTGTAAACCTTAAAATTTACAGTCAATTTTGAAAGAGATGCATTGTAGCTCTGTAAATTGTTATCGAATATGTCAATGCTGACATAATGAAATGCTTATTCTAATTATGTGGTTATTAAATAAATAATTAAAAAATAAAAAATAAAATTTCAGGGCTGGAGAGATGGCTCAGCAGTTAAGAGCACAGACTGTTCTTACAAATAAATAATTAAAAAATAAAATAAAATATCAAGGGAAAGAGAAAATAACACTGAATTAAGATAATTGCATTATAGAATTTCTTGTAGGTTTAATGAAATAATGCAACATTACTTTTAATGTGCTGGATAGCTTTAGTGTCAACTTGACAGACCTGGGTTGAGGGATCCTCAATTGAGGAATTTTCTCCATAGGACTTGCCTGTGGCAATGTCTGTGGGGCATCGTCTTGATTGTTGAGTGATGAGGGAGGGCTCAGCCCACTGTTAGTGGTGCCATATCTGGGCAGGTAGGGCTGTGTTGCATAAGAAAGCAAGCAGAGCAGGGTCCAGGGGAGCAAGCCAGTAAGCAGCATTCCTCCATGACCTGTGTTCCAGCTCCTGCCTCCAGGCTCCTGCCCTGAGTTCTTACCTTAGGATCCCTGATGAACTGTGAACTAGGAGATATAAGCTGAATAAATCCTTTCCTCCCCACATTAGTAGTGGTCAGAGTGTTTTGTCACAGCAATGGATAAACAAACTAGGAAAGAAATTGGTACCAAATAGTGGGGTATTGCTTTGACAGACCTGATTTAATATTTTTGGGAGGATTTTGGAAGCATTTGAAACTTTGGGCTGGAAAAGCCATTGAGTGCTTAAAGTTTGTGGATGCGGAGCTTGGAACAGTTATGCTGAAAGAGTTGTGGACAATGGAGGCCTCACTTGTGAAGCTTCAAAGAGAAGCAGAGACTATCAGGCTTATTTGTGTGATATTGTGAATTGAGAATCTGTGGGTTCTGGTTGGCCAAAGCTGAAGAATCAGCTGTGATTAAGAAGAGACCAGAACCTGAAGTAAAACCTTTGTTTTACTGGGACAATTGATGCTGGTTAACTGAGGCTGAAAAGTCAGTTGTAAGTAACAAGAGATCAGCATCATTATGGTGAAATCTTCTGGCAGGTATTTCCTCAGGGTCAGATCACAGAGGGGACTGGAGCCTCCATCTCTAGCTGGAAGCAAAACTTGGTAATGTGTAAGAGTAGTCTGCATGGTTCTGGTATTGCAGCATGAAGAGGGTCACAGAGAGCAGCTGAGGCTTGGCACTCTGAGAGGCCAGGAAAGGCCATAGGTGAAAGTATAGCTTCAGTTGCAGTGAAGACCCCACAATTGAAGTGGTCATGGAAAGAATATGAGGCTTTGCACCCTAAGATGCAAGAAGAGGCCATTGGTGAAGGTGTAGCCTCAGTTTCAGTGGATACCCCAATTTTCTGGAGATCCCAGAACAATGGGACGAACACCAAGGACAGCAATAGGTATGGAATAGAGCTTGCCTGGGTCGATGAGATGAACCTTGTGTGCTTTGGACAGCAGAGTCAGAGAAGTGGAGCTTCCAGAACCCTTTGGAGCCCAGAAGATCACAAGTGAATTCCAGATGTCCAGCCTCAAGCTTCTTTGCTGGACATTGGTTTTGCTTAGGTGTGCCCAATTCTTCCCATTGAAATAAGACAGTACTTGCTCTGGATTTTACAGAAGCCCACCCACAGGTAAGAGACTTTCAAAAGACACTGTGGACTTGTGATGGCTAATCCTGGGTGTCAACTTGAGTGGATCTAGGATTAACTGAAATGAGAGATGTCTTCTTGATTGGCTCATCTGAAGATGGAAGACACACTCTAATATGGATGTGACCTTCTGATGGCAGCCTGTATAAAAGGCCATGGCAGAGGAGAACACCTGGCTTCTTGTTGCTTGCCTTCTCTCCTGCTAGTAAGTTTATCTTGCTGCTGTAGACTGAAGATTAGCTGATCTTTTGGAATTTGTCAGACCTTCAGTTCCAGATTGGGACTACTGAGACATCCAGCCTCGTGGACTGAGCAACTATGGATTCTCAGCCTCTTCAGTGTGGTGCAGCCATTGTTGGACTACCCAGACTCTATCCTGTGGGCTAAGCTGATAAATCTCTACACATATATATTTATTCTACCAGTTCTCTCTCTATGGAGAACCCTGACTAGTACAGGACTTTTAAGTGTTTAGATTTTTTAAGGGCTGTGGGGCTTTTACGTTTGTACTGTCTTATTGTTGTATTAATGTTATCATCATATCCTGGGAACAAGAATTGTTAAGTTTATGGTTTAATAGTGATGTGTTTGTGTGTCAAGTTGACAAGGAGTCAATTGTGCTGGATAGCTTTAGTGTCAACTTGAGACACTTGGGTTAAAGGAGCCTCAGTTAGGGATTTGCCTCCATAGGACTGGCCTGTGGCCATGTGTGTGGGGCATCTTATTGATTGTTGAGTGATTAGGGAGGACCCAGCCCATTGTGGGTGGTGCTATCTCTTGGTAGGTGGGCCTGTGTTGCATAAGAAAGCAAGCTGAGGAGGGGCCAGGGTAGTCCGCCAGTAAGCAGCGTTTCTCCGTGGCCTGTGATCTAGCTCCTGCCTCCAGGTTCCTGCCCTGAATTCCTATCTTGGGCTCCGTGATGAACTGTGACCTGGGAGATGTCAGCTGAATAAACTTTTTCCTCCCCAAGTTAGTAGTGGTCAGAGTGTTTTCTCACAGAAATGGAGAAACAACGTAGGAGAGTGAACCATAATTTGATGATCATGAGCCACTGTAGATCCATGTGAGAGACCTGAGTGACTCCATCTTGTATAAAACCTCCATAGGACTGATCCAGCCCTAGGCCCTGTTCCAAGAAAAACCACAATACTTGGAACAGATAGAGGACAACTCTCCCACCAACAGTCAAATAACCAGGGACAGGAAAGTACTAAAATTCCAGATATCTTTTCAGATTTCCTGAAGCCAGTAATTTATTGTTTGGCACTGAGCTGCAACTAATCAGATGCTTGCCAGGCTGAAGACCCCCTACTCCCCTACTTGCTGAACTTGCTAAAATAAACCTATAAAATCCTCTGTCTCCCAAATCAAGGGGTCTCACACCTGAGATCTGCTAAGTTGGTGGCAGAGTGGACCCAAGCTTAAGCTTATAACAATAAAAGAACCCTTGTGTACTTGCATTACTAGGCTCCTTGGTGGTCTTTGGGGGTCTCACGAACTGGGTACAACACATGGAATAAAATAATTGTAAATAGCAAACACAGTCAAATAGGCTTAGCCATCCTGACTATCCCAATGAACAAGGATGTGCGATGTTAATAGACGATTGGCTGTCTAATGTGAACCTCAGTATAGAAGAAGTCACCACTGGGAGTTTCTTTTGCTGATTCTTGGTTATCCTTGCCTGTTTGTTCATTTAGGGATTTTTTTTTCAAGTTTTTTTTTCACCAGCTTGCTTCTCCATTGCTGTGATAAAATACTGTGACTACTACCAACTTGGGGAAGAAAGGGTTTATTTGTCTTACATCTCCCAGGTCACACTTCATCAGAGAGCCCAATGTAGGAACTCAAGGCAGGAACCTGGAGGCAGGAGATTGGAGCACAGGCCATGGAGGATTGCTGCTTACTGACTTGTGCCCTGGCCCCTACTCAGCCTGATTTCTTGTAACACAGGCCCACCTACCCAGTGATGGCATCATCCACAATGGGCTGGGCCCTGGGCCCTACCCCCATCACTCATCAATCAAAAAGATGCCTAGAGACCTGGCCACAGGCCAGTCCTATGGAGGAAATTCCCCAGGTGAGGATCCCTCAACCCAGGTGTGTCAAGTTGACACTAAAGCTATCCAGCACAATTGACCCATTGTCAACTTGACACACAAACACATCCCTGTAAAACCATAAACTTTCAAATTCTAATCCCCAAGATATGATGTTAAAATTAGGATCACAACATAAGACACTACATCCTTAAAACCTCATAGTTCTTTAAAAAATCCAAACACTTAAAAGTCCAGTCTCTTTTAAAAGTCTCTTAACTGGTGACTCCTGTAAAATCTAAACCAAGTACTGTCTTATTTCAAAGGGAAGAATCGGGGACACCTAAGTAAAACCTAATTCCAACAAAATAGCTCAAGCCTGGACATCTGGGATTCACTCACAACCTTCTGGACTCTGAAGGGTTCTGGCAGCTCCAGTTCTCTGACTCTGCTGTCCACAGCACACACAGCTTGTCTCAAAGACCCAGGCCGAAACAATTCCACACCTGAAACTGCCCTTGGTGATCATCCAGTGGTCCTGGAATCTCCAAAAAGCTGGGATCTCCACGGAAACTGAGGCTACACCATCACCAATGGCCTCTTCTTGCTTCTTAGGGCGCAAAGCCTCAGATTATCTCCCTGATCCCTTCAGTCCTGGGATCTTTACTGCAACTGAAGCTGCACTTTCACCTACGGCCATTACTGGACTCTCTGAGTGCAAAGCTTCAGTTGCTGTCTATGACCACTTCACACTTTCAACAGCAGAACCATGCAGGAGACTCTTACACATTACCAAGTCATGCTTTCAGCTAGAGATGGACGCTTGAGTCCCCTCTTGACCACAGTTTCTGTGTGTGAACCCTGAGGAAATGCTTCCCAGAGGATTTCACCATAGTGATGCTGGCCTTTTGTTACTTACACCTGATTTTCCAGCCCCAGGTAAAATCAACAAAGGTTTTACTTTAGGTTCTGATCTCTTTGTAATCACAGCTGATTCTTCAAACCGCCGACCAGAACCCACAGATTCTCAATTCAAAATATCACACAAAGGGCCCTGACAGTCTCTGCTTCCCTTTGAGCTTCATAAGCCAGTCCTCCATTTTTCCCAACTCTTTCAGCATAACTGTTCCAATCTCCACAGCAACAAACTCTGAGCACTCAATGGTTTTTCAGCCCAAAGTTCTGAATGCTTCCACAATCCTCCTAAGAACACCAAGTTCAGGTCTGTCACAACAATACCCCACTCCTCGTACCAATTTCTGTTCCAGGTTTTTAAGAAAGTTATTTAATATTTTTATTTTATGTGTATGTGTGTATTATCTGCATGTAGGTAAGTGAACCTGTGTCTTCTTATGACTTGGGGAGGAAAAGATTTGTCTTTCTTCTCCTAGGTCACAGTTCATCAAGGTGCCCAAGGTAGGAATACAAGGCAAGAACCTGGAGGCAGGAGCTTCGAGCACAGGCCATAGAGGATCGCTGCTTGCTGATATGTTCCCTGGCCCCTGCTTAATCTGCTTTCTATGAAACACAGCCCCCATGACCAGAGGTGGCACCACCCACAGTGGGATGGACCCTCCCACATCACTCCTCAGTTAAGAAGTTGCCCCACAGACCTGGCCACAGGCCAGTTCTATGGTGGCAATTCCCCAAATGAGGGTCCCTCAACCCAAGTGTCTCAAGTTGACACTAAAGCTATCCAACACATCCACCCAGTTGGTTCAAATAATATTATTGAATACCTTCTAATCCTTAACCACTACAGCCACATCTTTATTTTTATATATATGAATTTTTTTTTCTTTTTTGAGAATTTCATACATGGTTATAATTTTTGTAGCATTCCATCCCCCACCTGCCCCACTCTACCTTCTCTGATGCCCACCACTCCCTTGCAATTTCTTATCTACTTCTTCATGATTGTTATGTATACAAATATACATTTATGAATATACATATATACAATGTACTGTATTCACTTAGTGGTGGTTTTGCACCTCTGCTTGGGATTAGGTAATCTATCAGGGAGATAGCCCCTGGAGAAAACTGCAAATATATATAAAAAATGTTACGTAAAAATATCTATACAATGAAGTTTAAGGGGGGAAATAAGAATAAAAAATCAAAGACCAAAGGATTTGCCAACATGGGCTCAACTTTAGTGGAATAATGAAGGTATTCGTTTTTTCTTTTTGAGAATCCTAATGAGTTTATTTAGCTTGCTAACAGATAAGCTGGGACATTATAAACAGAAAAGTAGGTGCCCCCCCCCACTTATGAATGCATTTCGGAGTCCACAATCAAATATAGATCGTGTGACTTCCCAACAGCCTCAACAAATGGCAAATGGGCTCAACTTTAGTGGAATAATGAAGGTATTCGTTTTTTCTTTTTGAGAATCCTAATGAGTTTATTTAGCTTGCTAACAGATAAGCTGGGACATTATAAACAGAAAAGTAGGTGCCCCCCCCCACTTATGAATGCATTTCGGAGTCCACAATCAAATATAGATCGTGTGACTTCCCAACAGCCTCAACAAATGGCAAAAAAGTTGCCTCATGATGATCTTGGCTTCCAGTTAACCCTCAACCCCTTCTTCCCACTCCTACATTCTTCGTGCCAACCTCTTCTGCAAAAGTCTCAGAGCCGTGGAGTAGGTAGTAGGTATGGGATGACCTTCCTCCCTTTGTGGCAAGGCACTGATGTTCTGGGGTTCTGCATCATCTCTTTTCCATTGGCTGTTGTCCCATTTCAATGGGATTACATTTATTATAAGGATTTGGTGCTGGAATCCATAATTGAGGGAGAACGTACATCTTTGGTTTTTCTGAGTCTGTGTTACTTAACTAGGTATAACAGTTTTTAGATCCATCCATTTACCTCAAAATTTCATTGTTTAACCTATGTTACTGCTGAGTAAGCCTCCATTGTGTAAATATACCACATTTTTGTTAACCACTTGTCATTTGAGGGGCACTTAAGTTGCTTCCAACTCTTAGCTATTGTGAAAAGAACAGCAACAAACATGGTTGTACAAGTGTCTCTGCAGTAGGATGAGTCCTTTGGGTATATGCCAAGGAGTTGTATAACTGTGTTATATGGTAGGTTCATTATTAGTTTTTAAAGAGTTCTCAACATTGCTTTCCACAGAAGTTGCATGAGTTTGCAAGCACACCAGCAGTAAATGAGCACATTCCCCTTTCTCCACATCCTTGCCAGCATTTGATATCACTTTTTCCCTTGATCTTAGTCAGTCTGACAGGGGGAAGTTGAAATCTTAAGATGGTTTTAATTTTCATTTCCCTAATTACTAACAATTTTGAATACTTTTAAAGATGTTGTGAATGGAAAGGCTTCCCTGTAATTTTTCTCCAAGAGCTTATTATTAGTATATAGAAAGGCTACTGATTTTTGTAGATTAATTTTGTAACCTCACACTTTACTGAAAGTATTGATTAGTTCTGGGAGTTTTCTGGTGAAATTTTTGGGATCTCTTAGGTATAGTATCATATTGCCTGCAAAAAAGGGATAATTTGACCTCTTCTTTTCCAATTACTAATCCTTTAATTTCCTTCCCTTGTCTTATTATTCTAGCAAGAGTTTCAAGCACTATATTGAAACATAGTGTAGACATTGAACAGCCTTATCTGGTTCCTAATTTTAATGGGAATGTTTCCAGTTTTTCTTTTCCCACTTAGAATTGTGTTGGAAGCATCCCCACTTATAAGATTGATAATGTTTATTGACTTGTGTATATTGAACCATCTGTATACTTGATCATGGTGAATGATCTTTTGATTGTACATCTGTATGAAATTTGCAAGTATTTTGTTGAGAATTTTTGCATCTATGTTCATTAAGGGTATGGGTCTATAATTTTCTTTTTCAGTTGTGTCTTTACCTGGTTTGGGTATTAGAGTGATGCTGGCTTCATAGAAGGAATTGGGAGTTCTCCCTCTGTTTCTATCATTTTGAATAACTTAAGTAGTATTGGTTGGAGGTCTTCTTTCAATGTCTGGTAGAATTCTTCTATAAATCCATCTGGGCCTGGGATTTTTTTTAGTTGGGTTTTTTTTGTATTACTGTTTCAATTTCCTTATATGTTATGGGTCGGTTAACCTGTTGACCTATTCTTGTTTTAACTTTGGTGGTTTTCATGATTTTAGATATCCTTCAATTTCTTTTAGGCTTTCAAATTTAATAGAGTATAGGTTTTTAAAGTATTCCCTTATAATATTCTGGATCTTTTTGGTGTCTGTTGCGATGTTTCCCCGTTCATCTCTGATTTTTTTTATTTGGATTTTCTCTTTCTTTTGGTTAACTCGCTTAAAGGCCTGTCTATCTTGTTCAGCTTTTCAAAGAAACTCAAAGGGCGATTTCTCCTGTCTGGCACTCTTTCTTTTTATGTAGTCTTCCATCATACACATGGACGCATGTAGAGGTATTGTATGCATAATTTTTCAGTAGGTTTTTGAACAAATACATTTCCCTCTGTTTTTTTTAACATCAGTTATGCTTTTTCTCACCCCTCATCTAATCCCCTCTTCCCAATTAAAGTACCCCTATTTTTTTCATTCACCATTGATAACCCCTGTCTCCTGGGGTCCCACCTCTCTTGAGCTCCTTCTTCCCTTACCCCCATAATTAGTTGTATAACACTCCCTTTATCCCTCAAAATTAAATCCGCTCATTTTACCAATTTCTCTCTTCATAACACCTGTCTTCTACTGTTCTTTCTCAGGCTCTTTCTTTCCCTTTACTTCCCTGATTCTATTCTATTGAGAGACCTGAGTATGCCTTGCCGTCAGGGAATCTCACTTTTGTAATGGGTGGCAATACTGACTGGCGACAGAGTCTTGGACCCTGGGACTTGTGTTTTTACAGCAAGCTGTTTATCACAAAATTCTGAGGGTTTTTATACATTACAAGGAACTGGCAGTCACATGGAGTTCGGCAGTCACATACAAAGATTTAGTGTAGAAAGAAACAGGACATAGACCTTTTAGTTGACACCAGAAGGATGCTTAAACTTTTACTCAGGGTTACCAATGCCTGTCCAGTAATTTACTGGCCACAATGTTTTCTTTCTTAGAGCTAAAAGCATGGTAAACTTTTGGCTTTTAGCTTAGGAGTGAACATTTATTTGACTAATGTCTTAGCTAATAACAGCTGAATTATTTGTTCAGGACAGCGAGATGAGCTGTTGACCAAGAAACTTTCCCACAGAGCAAAAAGCCTGTCCTTTCAACTTGTCCGTTTTCTCCTGCTAGTCTCACAGTGTTCTGTAAGACAAAGGTTATCAGAACTACTGTTTTCAGCATCACTCCCTTTGGCAGAGAATGCAGCCTGGACTTAAAAAGTTTGGGCTTATCTCACCCTAGGGCATGCTTGGTTTCCTAAACTATTCCATTTTTTTGGCTCTTTACATTTACATAAGGATATAGACTCACATATAAGGATTTGGTGCTAGGATCCACATATGAGGGAGAACACATGTTGTTTCTTTTTCTGAGCCTATGTTACTTCACTTAATATAACCATTTTCACTTCTACCAGTTGGCCTCAAATTTTCATGATATCATCTTTCTTTACAGCAGTGTAGAAGTCCATTGTGGAATGTTTTGCATTTTCATTACTTTCTTAGAAATGTATGTGCATTAACTTTTGGATGGCCCTAATTCTCTTCAAGCCCTCACATTCTGACTTCCATTTGATTCATTACATTGGTGAGCCATCCTACTGAATTTCACTGGAATAACTATGTTCTTCATTTTCAAATGTTCAATTCAGGTTTTATTCAGGAAAGTTGTATTGTATTAAATTTCCCTTT